CTGACGGCCGGCGCGCTGGCTGTGGGCGCAGGGGCGGGGGCCTGGGCGCTGCGCCGCGCGGCGCGGCGCCGCGCGCTGGCGCGCGCCGCGGCTGTCTCGGCCGCGGTGCGCGTGGTGCGGCAGCAGCCCGCGCCCGTGCTGGCGTCCCTGCTCTCGTCCCTCTACTCCGCCCCCGACTCCGCCGAGACGGTGCGCGGGCTGACGGTCGGCGTGTCGGCGCACCAGAAGCTGGAGCGCCTGTCGGCCCTGCTGCGCACGCTGGGGTACGAGGGCCTGGCCGTCTTTGGCGACTGCTTCGACGAGGTGGTGCTGCTGGACCCGGTGCAGTACCCCGGCGCCATCAAGGTCTTCGCGCGCGAGGTCTGCCGCAACGACCTCCTCAACTTTGGCCGCATGCACTTCTTCTTCCCGGACTCGCGCCTCGCGCTGGACCTGAACACCGACAAGACGCTCAAGGAGGCGCGCTTCGACCGTCACTTCGTCCGCGACCTCACCTGGTCCCGGCACCAGCTGGAGGAGCTGGCGGAGCGCCGCTTCCTGGCCGCGCAGCTGGAGGCGCAGCGCCGCGCCGCCGCGGGCGCGGGGCACGCCGAGGCGCGCAAGGACGGCGGCGCGGGCCTGGCCAACGCCGACGTGTCCAGCGTGGCGGGGGGGAAGACCTACACCTTTGCAGACCTGTTCCAAGCGGTGAGTGGTTTTGGGTGGGCGGGGGGAGCAGGAGGGGAAGTTGGGAGGGGGGAGTCGAGGTGTCGAGGGTGCTGCTAGGAGCATGGGTGCTGCACCGTCATGGGGCATGCAGGCTTGTCTTCCCCAAGCGACGAGGCTGGCGCATGCGCCGAGCATGCCGTGCTTGCGGACTGGAGCGGCGACGTTCTTGGCACGTCTCACACGCCCGTCTCCCAGCTGGAGCATGCATCTGTCTGTTCGAAGACGGATTCGCCAGTGCCGTGCATGCCGTGTCCTCAACACCTGCCCTCCACATGACCATCCCAGGTGCGAGTGGAGGACTTCAGCTCCTACCTCAGTAAGCTGTCCACGCCGCGCGAGCTCATGATCATGATGGTGAGGGGTCGTGGCCCAGAGGCCATGGGTTGTAGGTGTGCAGTGTGGTGGTGGGGGTGATGATTTGGGAATCTCAGCAGGCTGCAGCTGGCGCGCAGGACCCTCAGCCGGCACCTGCACTGTCCCCCCCCGGGACCCCCTGCAGACCGAGATGATGGGCCGCATGGAGGCGCACCCGGAGGGCGGTCTCACCGCCCAGGACATGGAGATCTCGGTGACCAAGGCGCTGGAGCAAGCGGTGTGAGGCTTCACTTCCCCCCAGCTGCCAGGGTTCCTTGCTGCTGTGGTGCAGACAAGGGCCCGCACCATCCAATCCCCATGAGGAGCGGTGATGTGGAAGGTGCTCCTCATTTTCATTCCCATCACTAGGTCCACTGTCACGCTTGCCTTTTGTGTTACATGAGCGGCACATCGGGGCCAGTCATCTGGAGGGCAGGGGGGGACGCACATTCCGACAGGTTTCTTCGGGGTGGCGCTGGTGAGGCGCCGTGGACGAAAGGGAGTCTACGCAGGGCAGTGCATGCCAGATCGTGCCGGCCGGCTCTGCTGACGGGCAAGGTTGCGCGACGGGGCGCAGGACACGCGGGGCACGCTTTCCTGGTGTCGGCACCCGGCGCGCATCCCAGAGCGGCGAGCGCGCCGCTCGAGGCTCGCGTCGCCTACTTGTTGAACCAGACCTGCGTCTTCTTGGTCCGACCGATCTTCTTCTGCAGCTGGAGCAGGCCGTACATGAGGGCCTCGGCGGTGGGGGGGCAGCCGGGAACATAGATGTCCACGGGGACGATGCGGTCGCAGCCCCTCACCACGGCGTAGGAGTAGTGGTAGTAGCCGCCGCCATTGGCGCAGCTGTGGGAGGGGAGGGTAGTGGGACAATGACAAGGGAGCGGCACTGAGGGGACTCGAGCCTGCAAAAATCCTTGGCAGGTGTCGCCCTCAGCGCATATCTTCAAACCCCCCTTGCCCACTCAAGGATCCTCCTTGGTCAAGTGGTCGTCAGCCATCCACACAGCCCCAGCCGCGGCCCACCTGCCCATGGACAGCACCCAGCGCGGCTCCGGCATCTGGTCGTACACCTTGCGCAGGGCAGGCGCCATCTTGTTCGTCAGGGTCCCCGCCACGATCATGCAGTCGGACTGGCGGGGGGAGGGCCGGAAGATGATGCCGAACCTGTCCAGGTCGTATCGGGCAGCGCCTGGGCCAGGGAGAGGTTGGAGGAGGGGCAGCTTGCACGAGCGTGACGCCTGAGCACCCCGCAACGACGGACGCGGAATGCACCCGGGCTCACGAACGAGGCTAACGAGATTCATTGGGAATGCGGCCTCCGATATCGACCCTGAGCCCGGGCCCCCTCTCACCGGTGTGCATCATCTCCACCGCACAGCAGGCGAGGCCGAAGGTCATGGGCCAGATGGAGCCCTTCCTGGCCCAGTTCACCAGCTGGTCGACCTTGGAGACCACAAACTCGGCCGTGGCGGGCTTGGCCAGAGCCGTGGTGGCCTTGGCAGCTGCCATGCTCGCTCGCTCCCGGGTGAGAGCCCCTAGCGAGATACTCGACGACGGTTTTTGGCTGGCCCTCGGCGCTGCGGGGGCGTCTCTATGGAAAACCCGCGCTTCAGGGGTACCTTGATCAACGTGGAGACGAGACTACTGGTGCTTCGATATGGCCTAGTGTAGAGCGGGCCTTGCGGGGGTGATTACCGTGCGAAAGGCAGGGGCCACGGCGGTGGAAAGGGCCACGCACATTGCTCGAGGAGCTCAGCACCACCCAAATGAGCCGGCTCTTTTGATCCCACACCACCCCACACCTCTATTCAAAATACGTGTACAGGCTGGATGGAGCAGTCGGCATGTGCAGCGGGGAGAGGTGGGAGCGCAGAGGAGAGCAAAAGCATTGTCAGCAGTGTGTCCAGGGATTGGCCGGGGGCCTGGCCTCTCACTATGGTAGCTCAAGATAGGAGTACAGGCTGGCGATGGCACGGGAGCCTCATTAGGAATCGTAGATTCCGGCCGCCCCTCACCACCTGCGGCCGCCGCCGCGGCCGCCGCCCCGGCTGTTGAAGCTGCCGGTGGAGCTGCTGCGCCTGAAGCCGCCGCCGCCGCCGCCGCTGTTGCCGCCGCCGTTGCCGTAGCCGCCGCCACCGCCGTATCCACCGCCGCCGCGGCCGCCGCCGCGGCCGCCCCAGCCCCCGAACGAGGCGGCTGTCACCTCGCGCTCCACCACCTCGGGAAGGGTGGAGGGCTGCGAGACAAAGGCGCCGTTCTTGGCGGCACCCACGTCCCCGCCCTCCGGCTCAGGCAGCGCCTGCTTGAAGGCCTGGACCAGGGCGGCGGGGACGTCAAACACCGCCCCCTTCCCGTCGCTGGTCAGGGTCATGCTCTTCACCTCCTCCACCGAGGCCTCGGGCAGGGCCTTGCGCAGCACGCCAAACACCTGCCCCGGCTTGTCCACGGGGAAGGCGGCCGCCAGGCGCAGCGTGGTGTAGTCCTCGTGCGCTGTGATGAGCGAGCGCGGGCGCAGCGCGGTGTAGCCCGTGATGCGCGCCAGCGCGGCGGCCAGCGCGGCCTCCGCGCTCTCCGACGCCGCCAGCAGCGTGCGCGCCGCGGGCCGGAAGGCGTCCACCACGCCCGCGTCCACCTCGGCCAGCGCGTCCACGGCGCGCTCGCCCGCCACGCGCGCCATGTCGGCGGGCTGGGGCGCGCCGATGCGCTCAAACTTCATGCCCGCGCGGCGCTCGATGACGGGGATGAGCCCCTCCTTGCGCCGGTCCACCAGCGTGATGCAGGTGCCGGTGGAGTTGGCGCGCCCCGTGCGTCCGCTGCGGTGGATGTACGTCTCCGGCTCCTTGGGCGGCTCTGACTGGACCACCAGCTCCACGCACTTGATGTCCAGCCCGCGCGCTGCGACGTCGGTGGCCACCAGCACCGCAAACTTGCCGGAGCGGAAGCCGGCCAGCGTCACCTCGCGCTGGCTCTGCGCGATGTCGCCATGCAGCGGGCGCGCGCCCACCGTCTCCGACAGCTGCGCCGCCAGCTCGTCCGCGTCGCGCTTGGTCTCGGTGAAGATGATGGTGCGCCCTAGCGCGCCGTAGCACTTGACCAGGTCCTGGGTCACCTCCGCGCGCTGGCTCCAGTGGCAGGGCAGCAGCAGGTGACGCACCGAGGTGCTAGCCTGTCGAGGGATTTGTGGGTGAGGGAGGGAGGGTTGGGCGTCATGACTGTTAAGGGATGCGGGATGCGGGCATTGCCGTCGGTCCGCATTCACCGCCCACACTCCCCATCCCGCCCCCACCTTCATCTTCTCGGTGCCGACCAGGTCCACGGTGGCGTGGTTGGGCTTCAGGAAGCGGGTGGTGATCTGCTTGACCCAGGGCGGCAGCGTGGCGGAGAAGAGCAGGGTCTGGATGTCGGTGGTGTCCACGCCCGTGTTCAGGATGCGCTCCACGTCGTCCACGAAGCCCATGTTGAGCATCTCGTCGCACTCGTCCAGCACGCGGAAGGCGAGGTTGGCGCAGGACAGGCTGCCGCGCTCGATGTGGTCCTTGACGCGGCCGGGGGTGCCGATGACCACGTCCACGCCGCGGCGCAGCGCGCCCTCCTGCGGGCTCATGGGCGTGCCGCCGTACAGGCAGACGCAGGTCAGGCCGGCGGAGCGGCCGTAGGTCTCGAAGTCCGCGCCCACCTGCTTGGCCAGCTCGCGGGTGGGGGCCAGCACGATGACGGAGGGCGCGCGGCCGTGCGCGCCGCGCGGGCGCTGGCTCAGCCGCTCCACGATGGGCAGCACGAAGGCAAGGGTCTTGCCGCAGCCGGTGCGCGCGCGGCCCACCAGGTCCCGCCCCTCCAGCAGGGGGGTCAGGCAGGCCGCCTGGATGTCGAACAGGGACTCGATGCCCTTGCTGCGCAGCATGGACTTCAGGGGGGCGGACAGCGCGAAGTTGTCCAGGGCGTGGGGGTGGGGGGCGGGGGTCTCAGCCGTAGACGGGGCGGGAGAGTCGGTAATTGAGGGGGCGGGGGAGGCCGCCTCCTTCTTCTTCTTCTTCTTCTCCACGATCTCGGGGCTGGCGACCGGGGCATCTGCGGCGGGTAAAGGGGAAATGTTATTATCATAACCCTAGGGCCCGGCACTGGTGCTTCCGAGGGCGAGAGGCACTGTAATGCCTGTCCCACGGAGCCGCCGCAACGCCACGCACCGCACCGCGCACCTAGCACGGGGTCGGCCACCTTCCGCTTCTTCGAGCTCTTCTCCTTCTTCTCGACCCCATTGGATGCCTCGGCCTTCTTCGTCTTCTTCACCTTTGCGACGACGGGACTGGCGTCCCGGGTGGAAGCCATGGTGGGTAGGGCCGCCGAAGGGGGGGAGGAGCGGAGTGAAGCGGGGCCGTTTTCAGGCACGTAAATGCGCCTGTATATCGTATGAAAGCTTCGTGGTGCTGCTTGCTGTGGAACTGGCGCCGGCGCACCCATGTTTTGTGGAGCCAGGCACGGCGTGGTGCACGAGCGCCCGCGCTGGCGCGCTTTTTTCACGTCTTGGGCACCCCTTTCCACCAAACGGCAAAGCGACTCCCCCATCGATCAGCCATTTATCATCTTAAGCTCAGCGTAGAGTAACGCCCAGCTTCTGGATACCGTGTGCATGCAGTGGTATCTGAAGATGTACAGTCGTGCTTGACTGGTGGCGGTCTGAGCGGCTCGGAGGTTGCGCCAATACGTGAGAATAGGCACCTGCCACCAGCAACCCAACGGTGCCGGTATGCGCACGCTCAATGGAGACTCTTGATCTTGAAGGCTACCCACTGATAATACAGTGACATGGCGATTCTGGTGCTCGCTAACGTGCGATACAAGTGGCATGCTGTCTTTCTGGAACCCTGCTTCCCTGGAATTTGCAGCCGAGGGGGTCATCGAGGGCCTGAGGGTTACCAGCAGGGTCTTGGGCCATGGCAGAGCGATGTGGTTTTGCGGACATGACATTAGGAGGCTACAATTCAATGGGCTTCCATCCATGGACTGAGTTGGCAGCACCCCACTCCTTGCAAAACTCCCTCGAGTGGTGCAAGCTTGGTGTTGATCCAGAGTTCCTGACATGGCTGCATGCCAGTGTCACGTCGAGGCTCAAACAAGTGGCAACCCCTTACTCATGCAGATGGTTCATGTAAAATTTGCTGTGCGGCCTTAGAGCTCAACGATGCTCTGGTGCTGATGTGCAGCACATTCCTCTCACGCTTGGAACGTGCAAGCAGTGGTCCTCGTTAGACATTGTGCTGATGGTTTGCTTGGACGGGCTCTTAAGTGGCGCAAATCGCTCAAGGATAATTTTTGGGAGGCAGACAGTGCATCATACTATTGGTGAGGCGAAGTAAGAGGTTTGGAATCCAAGATGAGCACTCGACAGTAACTTCATCCGGCGAATCCGAGGCGATACGGTGTACCGACAACATGTATAAACTCACCGGTTTGCATCTGGAGCCTGCGTGGTAGAGGGCCAGGGGGTTAGCTGCGCCAGTGCCTGTGCACCAGCCAGCAAACACCCTCTCCCCAACTTGATGAAGTTGCTCCTTTCGTGGAATACAATACTAACGTAGGCTGTGAGCTGCACCAACAATGTGCATACCCCGGACTTGTAGCAATCCTATTCATGTTGGGCACTAACGAGTGTACAACACACATTCCCACACTCCAGGCCAGTCTCCCAAATGAATCTCCCATTGACCTGAGAACTTGCGGCCACTACATTGTGCATGCCGTAGTATTGTCTCAGATGAGTGATTCGTGTCCTCTGCCTCGGCGATGCTGCTTGAAGGGAGACTTGGTGCTTTGCAGGCTGGGGGCCTTCCGGATGATGTTGATCTCGCCGATACCCGACGCATACCTAGCCTTCCAGGATTGCAACCATCAAATGGCATGGATGGGCCGCACAATGAGGGCGATGTGACTCAAATCCAAACTTAACAAAAATTTTCGACTATCCGCTTGCGTGGAGTGTCGCGTCTAGGTGGGAACGGGGCAGCCACAGCGAAAAATGAGCGACCGGAGGCCGCGACCAGATCTATGCACGAAGCTGCTGATGATGATGGGGGGGCGCGGGTCGAAGACTCAGGTGTATACTGCGAGCATGATTACCCCTTGGCGACCCTACGTTTGCTCTGATAAGCTTGAAGCTGGATGCGATCCATCAGGATTACTGGGCGCTGCTAGTACAGCCTTTCAAAACGAACTGGCTGTGTCCAGAGCCTGGAGAAACACCCAAAGATCCCCGACCCACCCTCACACCTTTCACGGACCCCTGAGATTGACTACTTCCCATAATGCCTGGAGTGGACGAGAATGATATTCACAAGATCTTAAATAAGGTGTCGAGTGGGAGCGCTAACTTGGATGCCGACAAACGTCAGCCACCACCACACCAGAAGCTCAGCACCGGAAGCACCCCTGTCGAGGATGCCTCTCCATCGACGACGACCGAGTCACCGGTCTCAATGGGTCGAGCTTTTCTAAGAGCTGTTCCTATTCTCGGTGAGCTTTGGGTGGGGTCCAGTAAACATAGCCGTGGCAGGAGTGCGGTCGAAACCCTCGGAGCTGTCCACGACCGACCCCCCCCCGCATCATCGATTCTACGCAGGCAACGAGTTGTGCGAGCGTCTTGCTTACTACGGAATGTCGGTAGGTTTACCGGTGCAAGAACATGTTATCATTGCGCCTATCCTTCAGAGGAATGCCGATCGTCGAGAGACCACTAGGCGCCGGCACGCCCATCAGCGCGCCGAAAGGTCACACAGCCCCCGCCCCTCAAATGCACCGCCGCACAGATCAACATCGTGGTTTACCTGACGTCAGTACTGAATGAAAACAATGCCACTGCAGCCCAGAATGTGAGTCGACACGGGAGAAGGGCACACTATGTCGGATTGAAGATCCTGGATTGAGTCTCCTCATGAACCCTCGCCTCAGTGCCTGCCAGTCTGGCCCACCCCCCCTCCAACACACTCGCAGGTGAATGCCTGGTCGGGCACATGCTATTTAACTCCTCTCCTGGGTGCATGGGTCGCCGATACCTTCCTCGGGCGTTTCTGGGCCATCTTTTCTGGTTCCATCATCTACATGCTGGTGAGATTGATGGTTTTGCAAGCCTGTACCTGGAGACCTGACCTGCCTCTGCTGGATGTTCAAGGGAAGTGGGCAGGGGCTTGGTGCGGATGTCAAGGCATGAAGCAGGCATCAGCTTTGTTCCCTCTGATATTTCTTCAATCGACCTGGATGGAGGTTCAGTACTGCCTGGCAACGACACCTCCACAGGGCCTCACTGGCGTCACCATCTCCGCCGGCCTCCCCTCCCTGACGCCGGCGCCGGGGGAGCAGCCCACCGCTCACCAGCTCTCCTTCTTCTGGGGGTTCATGGTGAGCTGCAAAGCCTGGCCTGAGGGCTTCTGCGGGTTGCAGGCCCCGAGACTCTGCTGTTGTGCGCCGACGCAGCCAAATCTGGAGCAGGCATGATGGAACTGAACCAGCCCCCCTTTCCCCCTTCCCTGGGGGAAATGGGTCCAGGCAGCCCGCTGAGAGCCCTGAAAGGGGACTGGTGGGGTCGTGCTCCCTCCCCTTGTTCCCACTCCCTTCCCTCGTCTGCCTGCAGTACCTGGTGGCAATCGGCACCGGCGGCATCAAGCCCTGCGTGTCCACCTTTGGCGCTGACCAGTTTGACGAGGATGACCCTGCGGAGCTGGCCATGATCCCACGCTTCTACAACTGGTTCTATGCATTCATCAACATCGGCGCCTTCCTGGCCTGCACGCTCATCGTCTGGGTCCAGACGGACGTCAGGTGGGGCGCACCCGGGGCGGTCCTTCTGGGAGAAGGGGGTTCCTGCTCGGCTCCCTTTGATTCGCCAGAGCAATCTGCTTGGTGCCCATCGCACGCCGGCCCAGCACACACCCAGGCACACCGTCCCCCGGCTCCCAGCGCGCGCGCGTCACCCCAGTCCTCCCCTCGACCGCCATGCAGCTGGACGATTGGCTTCCTGATCCCCACCGTCTCCTTCGCCATTGCCATCGCCGTCTTCCTCGCCGGCTCCAAATGGTACCGCCGCAAGCCTCCAGGCGGCAGCGCCCTGACGCGCTGGTTCCGCGTCATCGCCGGCGCGTTTGCCCACTGGCGGGCCGCGGTCCCTGAGGTCGCTCGGCTCGTGAGTGGGGTGGGGCCGGGCGGGAGGGCAGTGCTGTGGCTCGCGCCCTGCCACGCTCAAGAATGGGGCTCTGCGTGGCAGGGCTGAGGTGCACCGCTGATCTGGGTGGGTGGGGAAAGGGGGTGGCCTGGGTGGTACGGCCAGTGAACATGGCACGTGGCCCGGGGACTATGCCCTCCACGCGGGTGTGTGCCCGGCACCCAAGGCCGGTGGGGCCACGCCGCAAGAGCGGGGCGTTGTACCTGCCATGGCAAGGTCCTGGCCCGGCGCAGCCCCGGACCGCTCGCCCCATGCCCTCCAACCCATCTCACCCCCAACCCACCCAACCCATCTCGCCCCCGACCAATGCAACCCCACCAACCCACGCAGCTGCACGAGGTGGACACGCCCATGAGCATCATCCCCGGCCAGACCAGGATGATCCACACCCCTGAGTTCCGCTGGCTGGACAAGGCGGCCACGCCGGTCGAGGCCGCCGGCGTGCGCGACCGCTGGCTGGTGATCGTCACCGAGGTGGAGGAGCTGAAGTGCATGGTGCGCCTGCTGCCCTCCATGGCGATCCTCGCCGTCTACTTTGCCATCTACGCCCAGATGTCCACGCTCTTCGTCTTGCAAGGCTCCGCCATGGACCGCCACCTGGGCTCCTGGGTCGTCCCCGCCACCATGGTCAACGTGCTGGACTCCACCTCCGTCCTCATCTGGGTCCCCATCTTTGACCTGGGCATCGAACCCTACTTCAGGCGCATCGGCCGCCCCATCTCCCGCCTCACGCGCATGGGCGTCGGCTTCGGCATCGCCATCCTCTCCATGGTCTGTGCTGCCCCGGTGGAGATTTTTCACTTGAAGGCGGTCAGGGCCAACAACCTGCAGGTCTGTGTGTGGGGTTGGGGGGGATATGAGCAGGGGGTGGGAACGGGGTTGAGGGGCGGTCGCCCACCACCTGCCAGCCACAGCCTCCCGACCACCTGCCAGCATGCCACCACGACGGCCCGGGGCCCTCCCCTGCTCCCCTCTCGCCCCGCCCCACACCCTCATGCCCTCCCTCCCCGCGCCAAAATGTGGACCCCACCGACAACTCCGTCCCCGTCTCAGTCTGGTGGCAGATCCCGCAGTACTTCCTGGTGGGCATGTCGGAGGTGTTCGCCTCCGTCGGGTCCCTGGAGTTCTTCTACTCCCAGTCCCAGGAGGCCATGCGCTCCATCGCCTCCGCGCTGAGCCTCGTGGCCGCCGCCGCCGGCAGCTACCTGGCCGTGAGCCTCGTGGCCGCCATCACCAGCGTGTCCACGCGCGGCGGCGCCACCGGCTGGGTGGCCAACAACCTGAACCAGGGCCACATCGACGACTTCTTCTGGCTGCTGGCGGTGCTCATGGGCGTCGCACTCCTGGCCTACATCCCCATCTGCTACACGTACCGCTATCGCCAGGACCCGGCCGTGGGCTTCGCCCTCGCCGCAGCAGCAGACAGGGAGCGGGACCTGGGCATCGCAGCGGCGGGGGCCGACGACCTGGTGAGGCACAGGGAAGGGGGTGGAGTGGGCAAAGGGGGGGGGGGGGGGGCGTATGGGGGGAAGGGGGAGCGGGGTGGGTGAGGGAAGGGGGTGCATTTTCTAGGCCAGTAGAATTCCCGTCAGGGGAGACACCCCTCACACTGCGTCATGATCTCATCCTGTGCAAGCCTGGGTGATGCAACTCTTCGGCTCAGCGTGGCCCGGCCACTGCCTGTTCAGCAGCGAAGCTCAGGCGCCTCCCCACCCCTCCACACCCAAACCCTGACGCAGGCCAAGGTGTCTTCTCGCGTCGTGGTCGACCGTGCCCCGAAGCGATCCTCCTTCGTGCCGCCGGTGCACGCCTTTGAGATTGCGCCCGTATCTCTGGGTGTGAAGGGAGGGTCCTTATCCACCAAGCCATCCGAAAACTGAGCCCCTGCCTCATATAGTCACAGCAAGACATGTCTGTCCCACCAGTGGAGCTGGAAGAATCAGTGAGAAGGAACAGCAAAATACAGGCGCCCCCCCCTCACCTGCTCAATAGACTCCGACTGGAACACCCTGGTGGTCACCTTGAGTCTCCTGAAAGGCCAGCACGTGGTGTGCGCTCCCTCCAACCTTGCAATCGGGTCTTCGTCATCCTCGCATGTTCGCTCGCAGGGGTGAGGCGCAATGTTTGCGTGCCGACTGCTGTGCTGAATACCGTGGCGACAACGCATTGGCAGCGCCCTCTTCCCCCACAGCTAGTCATAGTTTATGCTCTCTTTATCTCATATGCCTTGCATGCGCTGCAGTGGCACAATAATAGTATATCAATCAACCCCCCTGGTGGCCTTGATCAGAATTGTTCAAACGATTCTTGAATAGTACAAAGACATGTGGCGGGGAGGAGAAACGTATCTCCCCGGAATGAGCTCATCCCCTGCTTTGATGCACACCATGCTTGCTCAGCACCATCAATGCCGACGGACTCCAACTGGCGTCTGCACGACGAATACCAGGGAGATGATGTTGCTGGGCCGTCGCCCTCACCATGCGACAAACATGGTCTTGGGGACTCTTATCAACGGTACGTTCCAGGCATGCAGGCCACTTGCAGGCAGGCTCAAGTGATGCTGCAACGCACTCCTCACCGCAGTTCCCTCATCCCAATGGCCTGTTTAACCTTTTGCTGGAATTTTGGCATCCCTCCATAGATGTCCCCCTGGTGCAGAGCATCTGAAAAAGGATTCTAACCGTACCAATCAGGTGTAAGGACAGGACCAGGACTACTCAACCAACTGATGGTCTCATTGAGCTGTTGAAGAATTTGATGCAAGGGATAAGTCTCGCGAAAAGTGGTGCGCTCGTGCCGCTGCACAATTCCCACTCCAATTTTGGTGGACCTGGCGCGCGCTGAGGTGCTCCAGTCTCGATAAGGCCAAGGACCACCCCTCCCTCGACACATCCTTGCATGCATATACTGTCCATGCCTCCGATGAGAACCGCCAACTCTTGAATCCTTGCGACTTCCTCCAAGATGCACGCCGCACGCGTGGTGTCTGGCGCGAGCTGCTCCACCGCCACGCCCCCGCCACCCCCGTTCCGTGGCCAGCGGGTGCCCCGTCGCGCGAGGCAGGCAGCAGCCCCCTCTCGTGCCACCGCCTCTGCCATCACCCTCCTCCCACCATTATTGGAGAATGACGCGGACTTTTGCGGCACCGAGGGTGCGGCTCGGGTGGTTCATGGGGTCGTTGATGCGTGTCAGCCAGGGTTGGGGCACGGGCCATGATGGCCCCCTTTCCCCACCCGGTGTCGCTTGACATGCCGTGGACATATCGCCCGTCAGTTTCTGCGGCCATTCTTGCATTGAGGTGGGTCCCCACCAAAGCGCACACCCTGTCCTCACCGCTGCCCCCCTCCCACTCGCAGGCCTGGCCATGACGGCCCCCGCCCCCGCCCCCCCCCCTTCTCCCCGCACGGGAACGGCAAGCGGTACCACATCCACACCTTTGGCTGCCAGATGAACCTGGCAGACTCGGAGCGGCTGGCCGGCGCGCTGGACGCCGCAGGGTACGCGCGGTCGCCCGACGCTGGCGCGGCCGACGTGCTGGTGTACAACACGTGCTCCATCCGCCAGAAGGCGGAGGACAAGCTGTACGGCGCGCTGGGCGTGCACGCGGCGCGCAAGCGGCGCCTGGGCGCCGACCTGACCATCGTCGTGGCGGGGTGTGTTGCGGCGCAGGAGGGCGCGGCGCTGCTGCGCCGCGTCCCCGAGATCGACCTGGTGATGGGGCCGCACCACGTCCACCGCCTGCCCGCCCTGCTGGAGCAGGTGAGCTCCGGCTCCCAGGTGGTGGCCACCGAGGAGCTGGACTGGGCGGAGGATGTGAGCGTGCCGCGCCGCGACTCCACCCTCTCCGCCTGGGTCAACCTGATCCACGGCTGCAACGAGCGCTGCACCTACTGCATCGTGCCCACCACGCGCGGGCGGGAGCAGAGCCGGACCCCCGCCGCGATCCGCGCCGAGATGGCGGCCCTGGGCGAGGCCGGGTACCGCGAGGTCACGCTGCTGGGACAGAACGTGGACGCCTACGGCCGGGACCTGCCCGGGTCCGCGCCGGACGGCTCCGGCCGGCGCGCGCACACGCTGGCCGACCTGCTGCGCGCCGTGCACGACGTGCCCGGCATCGCGCGCATCCGCTTCGCCACCAGCCACCCGCGCTACTTCAGCCAGCGCCTGGTGGACGCCTGCGCCGACCTGCCCAAGCTCTGCGAGTTCTTCCACGTCCCCTTCCAGTCGGGCGATGATGAGGTGCTGCGACGCATGGCACGCGGGTACACCGCCGCGCGCTACCGCGCCATCGTGGATGGCATTCGGCGGCGCATGCCCGACGCCTCCATCAGCGGGGACGCCATTGTGGGGTTCCCGGGTGAGCCAGGAGGGGGGGGGATTGTCCTCAGGTGGGGCTCCGGGGTGCGGGAGAGGGTTTGCACCCCCGCCTCCGCACCCGTGGGGCAAGAAGAAGGTAGGGAGGGAGTTTGTGATTCGCCGAAGTGGGGCCCCCCTCCCGCACGCCCTGTGCCATCCATCGCGGCAACACCCCGCACACGACAACCTTCGCCCAGGCGAGACCGAGGAGCAGTTCCAGGGCACGCTGCGGCTGGTGGAGGAGGTGGGTTTCGACCGCGTCAACACCGCCGCCTTCTCCCCCCGCCCCGGCACGCCCGCCGCGGCCTGGGACGGCCAGGTGGCGGACCTCATCAAGAGCGACCGCCTGCAGCGGCTGAACGTGGTGGTGAACCGGGTGGCGGGCCAGCGCGCGCAGCGCTTCCTGGACCGCGAGCTGGAGGTGCTAGTGGAGGGGCCCAACCCCAAGGACCCAGGGCAGGCGATGGGCCGGTCGCGGCACAACAAGCTCGTCTTCTTTGACGGGGACGGGGCGGCACTGCGGGGCAGCCTGGTCATGGTGCACGTGCACAAGGTGCATGCCTACAGCCTGTTTGGGGAGCTGGCTGGGCGGCCCCTGGCGGCGCGGATGTAGAGTGCTGTGTTGTAGAATGGCCTGGTGAGCCGGAGCCAGGATAGAGGAGCAGGTTAGGGGGCGGCCATGTGCCTAGGGGAGGAGATGGAAGAGATGAAACGTTGAGACTCGGCCATTCAGAGGTTCATTGCAGCCTTCAACCATGTCGGGACCGCCGGAAGCCCACTCCCCCAGGTGGCATGTGCCCCGTGCGTGAGCCCAGTCCGGACCATGCATGGACCGCGTGTCGACTGTACTGCCTGATCCGGGCCGAAGCTGGGCGGCAAGTCCCAGGATTGCGCGGCCGAAAACAGGGGCGCGCGAGGAGACAAAGAGACCGTGCGGGTGCACGCAACTGGCTAGACGCATGAGAAGAGCACTGGGGGTGCGGAGGTCGAGCTCAGGGCTCCACCGCAGCCGGAGCATTACGAGTCGGTACGAGGGGGTTTCCGTCCACCCACCCCATGAATGGACGGGAAAGCTGTCGCGGTGCCTGCACAGTGCGGGACCCATGGTGTCGGGGCATGGAAAAGCTTATCATGCGCCCTCGCCAACAATGCCAAGCTGCTGGGGCTGGGGCGAGACACCTGTGTCCAGGGGCACATGCCCGGGTCTGTGGGGCAGGATGGTTAAGCGCCTCAAACAATCCTTTCGCAGGGATTCCCCGTGGTCGAAATGGTCAGCAACTCGATCGTCACCGGTAACAGGCATCCCTGGCATGGCACCAGCCCCGGCGTGGTCCCGGTGAGGGTTGTCTGCGAACTCCACCCCTCCTCCTTGGTCAGCTCGGGCGCCCTGGCAAGCCCCATGTGAGTGAGACCGACCAGAACCTGCTGCACTGGACCTGCAAGCCGAGCCCTGCGTGGTCTTTCTCTCATCGGGTCCCTCCACCCCTGCAGCTCTGCTGATGGAGGCTCATCTCTTCAGGCAGGCCAGATTGTCAACAGGACTGTGACCACGCTGACAGGACCTCTTGTCAGGCCGGCCAGCAAACAGACACTCCAGGCAAGTGCAGGCTGGCTGAGAGGAGTTTGGTGGCACTGCATTGGTGGGAACCACGAAAGCTACTGTGTAACATTTGAGAACTGACCCTGGCTCCCTCACCCCTTCTCTTGTCTCTCCCAACTCAGATCTCAGTGCCAAGGGGTCATGTGACGGGGGGGGATCTCTTGCAAGGTTTAGCCCCATCCAAAGGTAGACCATACATTGTCAGGGTACTTGTGATCACATGTTACGGGTTCATGGATGTTGCATTGAATGTTTCATGGTCCTTCATTGTGGCTCCCTGGGGATTTCGCGGAGCGAACGGTCCTGATTGGCTGGGGGGCTGCCCGATTTCGTAGATTTGAGGCAACAGGGTTGGATTATCGCATCACAGGCCCCATGTGCGAGGGAGATAGGGCGTGTGAGGGGGAGGACGAGTACTCATCCGAGGACATGACGCCACATGTGCAGCGCCATGTGAATGGGAACGTGAGCTGGGGTCCCGGAGGTGTTGAAGCGAGCACAGATGCCTTCCCTGTATGGTGTGAAGACCACCTGCTCGCCTACTGTAATGGCTATTGGGTGGGCAGTCACCCCGATGCTGTGTCTTCCCGCGCAGCTGCCCATTCCAGGCCACATGAGCGAGGAGGAGCGGCGAAGGATGAAGAGGTGGGCGGTGTGTTCTGTGGATGGTGTTCCATGCCCTGTTTCGAGTCTGGCTTGACACTCAGGCAACCTTGCCCATCTGGCCTCTACAGAACGTCCCTGCAACTCGCCATCATCCCCCCCTTTTTCCTTCTCCTCCCTACAGACGAGTCGCCAACCGAGAGTCAGCGAGACGGGTGAGGCTGAAACGACAGGAGCTGGTGGATGAGCTGCAGCACAAGTGCACGGTGAGCCCTTTGCTGCTGGTGGTGCCTGCAGACGACTTTGGGATGGGATCTCCTCTGTTGGGGTTAGCATTTGTCCAGGACTCTGGCTATGCATTGATGTCTAAGTTGCCTCCAAGCTCTTTCCACCTGCCATGTAAGGCTGCTGAGCCTGTTGGGGTTGGTGACAACCTTGGTAACGGCTGTCGGCAACCTCTTTCCCTCCCTCATTTTGCCCCTGCAGTTCTTGCAACTCGCCAATGCTCGGCTCTCGGCAAATGTCCACGCGCTGGAGCAGCAACAGGCCTCCATCCTGGCGCATGTGAGCTGCTGGGAGGGAAGTCTGAGAATGGGGGGGATTGAGATGGGGAGTACGAGGCCTTTTACTGACAAGGTGCTGGTCTGTTGCGACAGCCTGGGGTGCAGCATCCGTCAACACAGGTACATGCCTCCCCGCAGGTGAGCATGCTGCGATCTGCGCTGGATGTCAGCCAGAAGGAGGCGCAAGAGCTGCGGCGGAGGCTTTCACAAAGCGGCCGCCCCTTGTCTACGTGTACAGCTCAGGTGAGCTCGTGAGGCAGAAAAACGTGGATGGTATTGATTGGACACAGAGCTTGTCCCCTGTCACTGAAGGCCCATGCTTCAAGGCCTCGTCCCATAAGCTTGTCAGAGGCTGCACACCGTGTACGCTCTCGCTGCTCTCCTGCCCATGCTCAGATTCACTATTCCGCCCAAGCAGGGAGGTTGACGAGCGTTGGAGAGGCTCGAGCTACTCAGCATGTGTAACTCCATTCCAGCTGGTCCCGTGTGCAATCCCTGTACCCTTCATGGAACCCTTCCACCCCACCCCCGCTCCCGGTAGACCTCATAGCTTCGTCTGCTTTCGGCAGTCCAACCTATGCCAAACTATGAGCGCAGGGCCGTGTATAAGTGATCTGTCTCGTTTGTTGCCCTGTTCGTACAGCCCCAAGGGGTCTCTTTACCATCGATGAGATCCTCCTCCTGGGTCATTATTCAAGTGTGTCGTCCACTCCTACATGCCAACCTCTGATACTCGAGTGACATCACCCCTCCAGCTTCATTCACTTCACGCCCTCAAGATCGCTGTGTCTGTCTACTAGGTTGAAGGGTCTTTCTCTGATCATGCATCAAAATCACATGTGCAATTACCTCTTCAGGACCATCTGCTGCCTTTGTGAGGGGTCACGCAGTGACAATCAACAACCTCTGTCTAGTTCAGCTCGAGGCTGGTTGGGGACGATCGACCTACATACCCTTGTACTCTTGGGCCTGAGGCTGGACTGCTGTATGACGAGATGCGGCCGTTGCAGTCCATCGGATGTGGCTGCACATGGCCTTGTAGACCGTCGCCCCCTCCCACCCCCCCCCCCCCCTCCCTAGCACAGAATGGCGAGCTGATATCTGCATTCTCTAAGCCCGTTCCTTGAGGCCAAGGATAAGCGCTCGCCGCTTCCTCATGCAATCAAGATGCTCCGGATGCAGGAAACAAGGTCTTCTTGTAGCCATACCATCCTCTCTGAGCCCTGCATGCCCTACTCATGATGGAGCATAAGGGTGCGCCTTCAAGTCTCACGCTACCGCCCTGCACTCCCCTGATGGATCCCAGCCCATCATACGTCAACCCGAATGTCAGACAGGTGATGTGGTGAGTTCTGCTTGTGCCCCTAGCCTCAGCCTCAGAGTCTGTTTTATATCTCCTCACCGATCGCCACCACTCGGTTCGAATGCAGCAACACACGGATGACCACCGATAAGCACCATATCGCTTGCTTCGCAAGGTCGACCCGAACCCGTCGATTGTGAATGTGGACATTCCTTCCGTCAAGAGCGCGGAAGACGATGAATGAGATGAGGTCGTTTGGAGCTGGAGCGTGCTTGGGCGATCGGCGGCCCGAAAACCGTGAGCGCCACGAGTGCGTGACATCTGGCACCGGGTCCGGAGGTGAATTGGGGAGAATGGCTATATATCATGGCGACCGAAAGGGCCTTACTTTGACACACCTGATACAAATCCCACTTGCACGATATTTTTCGGGCCAGAGTACGACGTGCATACAATCTCATATCACAGTGTGTTCACGCGATGACTACACCCACCAGCCGGAGACTGCGACGGCGTCCCGCGTCAGCGGCGCTCACCATACTCGTGCTCTGCATCAGCATTATGACGCACCAGGTATATTTAAGCATCGTGTGCTCAATAACACCTTGTGGTTTTTTCCGGAGACAGTGCTCAGGGTAGCGTCATGGCTCTTTCTTACAGGTGGCTGCGAGGGCGAGCATGCGCTTGAAGTCCTCCGTGACGACTGATCGCAAGGAAATCGATGGTAGGTGTGAGCAATAGTGCGATTGGCATGTTGAGCACATGAAAACAGCTCACGATTCGGTACCTTTTGTATTCATGCCGACATGCAACTCCACATACCGCAGATTCCGCGGAAGTCCCGCCTCCAGTAATCCAGAATCCATCGTTGAAAACTTTTCAGCTGGATGAGGATGCTGAAGTAAATGGAGAGAGTGAAGCGATTGTGCTGAACTCTGCGGACACCCGTGGGGTTTCCAGCCTCACGCCGGCTGAGCCCTTCAACACCTCGGACTCCATTGCCCTTCCGCCACCTCCGTCCTCTGTCGACCCTTTCACCATCTCACCCGTGCTGGCCTGCCCCTGTACTTGGGCTCGGGACGACTTCATGTGCAATTGCACGGTCATCTCCGCCTTCTACGGCGAGAGGGTCGCCTGCCACATCTGGGACTCAGGCCGCACCTTCACATCCAACCCCGTCTGGGACCAGTATGGGTATACCTCCACCTACACCAAAATCGATTTCATCTATCAGTCCGGTGACACGGTGCAAGCACAGGTTCAAATTTTGAATGATGGGAAGGAGGTGGGTCCGCCGTCAGACATTGTTCAGCTGTCGGCTTTCCTCGCCTCTCCCCCTTCCCCGCCCCCGAGCTCCCCATCGCCATAGCCACCCGTTCCGTGGACGTCTATTGCCCGCCCGGGCCCCCGTCTCTGCCCCAGCTTCCTTCTGGTGCCACAGCTGGCTTTGACAGGTCGTTGAACACACGGGTCCAGGTGGTCACAGCCCTTGCCAAGATTGGCAAGCTGCATGCCCCCCTGCCCAGCTACGGGTGACCAGGGGCGATGGCAGCCCAGAATTCGACGTGATCTGGACCTTAAAAGGAGTTGCCACCTTCAGAAGCCTCAGTCCAAGAACAACGAGGCGGCTAGCGCCAAGACCTGGAGTGGCGATCTGGCACCTCTATGCCTAAACTTCAAAGCTTTGACGAGCCCCATGTGGACTCGCCACTGCCCACTCCGTTCTGGCGCTCCCAAATCCCAAAGACGGCCACCTAGAGCTCCATTATCCTCACTCACCACTGCATGGCCATTTCAAGGTGGCAACCGAGGGAACGGTTTTGCGTCAACCTGCTGCCATGGTGGCCCCTTTAAACCCCCCCCCCCCCCTTTTGGCGATCGCCCAATCTTGTTTATGTTAGATTTAAATGGATAGCTCGAAGATCCTGAAAGTGCACATGAATTGACAGCGAGCCACCGTTTCATGCCATTCCGACATTCATCTCATGAGATGCTGCATGATGCAGTACATGCAACAAAGAAATGTAGATCAGGCACACGGTAGCCTGTATCGCGGCATCGATCCGCACTCCTTCTTTTGAACGAAGATGAACCCATCTTCCCTTCAAATAGATGGCAGCGAAAGATGTGGTCTGGAATAGTTGGAAATTATCTCCAAGCGATGCTCGGCTCCAAAGGGATCGATCTCTGCTCGTCGTCGCGCCACTTGGCAGCACCGGGTCCGGAAGCATACATTTTGGAGGCAAGGCAGAGGCATCGAGACATACCGGCAAGCGCGAGATGCCCTCCTTTTCAATTCCTCAAACATATGCTCCCCGAACCGCGAGCATTGCTCGAGCAAGTAGAGGACCGGCATCTATGTCCGCCACCGCGCGTTCGAGCTATGGCGACGCTCCACAGCCAAGTGCTACTACGGAGGACCGCCCCTCTGGCTCTCATATTTCTCATTTTGTGCGATAGCTCTCTGGCGCCTCAGGTGAGCTTCCTGCACCTACATGCCGTCGGACCGGGGGGCGTTCTGTTCCGGAGACCGCTGTGAGTACACATTGTACATGCACTTCCTCATAGGTGGCTGCAAGTACGAACAAAGGCGTGGAGCCTTTCAACACAACATATAGCGAGCAATTAGATGGTATGTATGATGATTTTGTGTGATGGCGCGATAAACACCTCGAGCGTCGACTAAATTGATAAATGAGATCCCCCCCCCTCCCCCCTTGCCCTTCGCCTCCCGCAGAATCCGACAACGGTGTACACGCCGAGTTCTTCGGCACATCTTCACAGAATTCGAGATCAGATGTCGAAATCCGAATAGAGGGTCGCGATGGAGCGACGCTGCCGGCCTTGTCGGCCACCCATGAGTACTCCGTGCCATCGCCAGCTGAGCCACTAAGCAACTCGAGGCCCCCAATACTCTCACCGTCCCCCTTGCCACATTCCGCTTCGCATAGCTCACGGGTAACATTCCCCAGCAAGCTCAGATCACCTCCTCCACGAAAGAAGGCAAATCCACCTCCGCCTTCCAAGAGGCCGCACCCACCTCCTCCACGGAAGAAGCCAAGTCCACCTCCGCCTTCCAAGAGGCCGCACCCACCTCCTCCACGGAAGAAGCCAAGTCCACCTCCGCCTTCCAAGAGGCCGCACCCACCTCCTCCACGGAAGAAGCCAAGTCCACCTCCGCCTTCCAAGAGGCCGCACCCACCTCCTCCACGGAAGAAGCCAAGTCCACCTCCGCCTTCCAAGAGGCCGCACCCACCTCCTCCACGGAAGAAGCCAAGTCCACCTCCGCCTTCCAAGAGGCCGCACCCACCTCCTCCACGGAAGAAGCCAAGTCCACCTCCGCCTTCCAAGAGGCCGCACCCACCTCCTCCACGGAAGAAGCCAAGTCCACCTCCGCCTTCCAAGAGGCCGCACCCACCTCCTCCACGGAAGAAGCCAAGTCCACCTCCGCCTTCCAAGAGGCCGCACCCACCTCCTCCACGGAAGAAGCCAAGTCCACCTCCGCCTTCCAAGAGGCCGCACCCACCTCCTCCACGGAAGAAGCCAAGTCCACCTCCGCCTTCCAAGAGGCCGCACCCACCTCCTCCACGGAAGAAGCCAAGTCCACCTCCGCCTTCCAAGAGGCCGCACCCACCTCCTCCACGGAAGAAGCCAAGTCCACCTCCGCCTTCCAAGAGGCCGCACCCACCTCCTCCACGGAAGAAGCCAAGTCCACCTCCGCCTTCCAAGAGGCCGCACCCACCTCCTCCACGGAAGAAGCCAAGTCCACCTCCGCCTTCCAAGAGGCCGCACCCACCTCCTCCACGGAAGAAGCCAAGTCCACCTCCGCCTTCCAAGAGGCCGCACCCACCTCCTCCACGGAAGAAGCCAAGTCCACCTCCGCCTTCCAAGAGGCCGCACCCACCTCCTCCACGGAAGAAGCCAAATCCACCTCCGCCTTCCAAGACGGCCGCACCCACCTCCTCCACGGAAGAAGCCAAATCCACCTCCGCCTTCCAAGAGGCCGCACCCACCTCCTCCACGGAAGAAGCCAAATCCACCTCCGCCTTCCAAGAGGCCACACCCACCTCCTCCACGGAAGAAGCCAAATCCACCTCCGCCATCTAAAAAACCACACCCACCACCTCCTCCACGAATCGTAAGGCCGCACCCACCTCCTCCACGGAAGAAGCCAAATCCACCTCCGCCTTCCAAGAGGCCGCACCCACCTCCTCCACGGAAGAAGCCAAATCCACCTCCGCCTTCCAAGAGGCCACACCCACCTCCTCCACGGAAGAAGCCAAATCCACCTCCGCCTTCCAAGAGGCCACACCCACCTCCTCCACGGAAGAAGCCAAATCCACCTCCGCCTTCCAAGAGGCCACACCCACCTCCTCCACGGAAGAAGCCAAATCCACCTCCGCCTTCCAAGAGGCCACACCCACCTCCTCCACGGAAGAAGCCAAATCCACCTCCGCCTTCCAAGAGGCCACACCCACCTCCTCCACGGAAGAAGCCAAATCCACCTCCGCCTTCCAAGAGGCCACACCCACCTCCTCCACGGAAGAAGCCAAATCCACCTCCGCCTTCCAAGAGGCCACACCCACCTCCTCCACGGAAGAAGCCAAATCCACCTCCGCCTTCCAAGAGGCCACACCCACCTCCTCCACGTAAGAAGCCAAATCCACCTCCGCCTCCAGCACAACCCAGTCCCTCTCCGCCGCCGCCCAAACCTCCCAGTCCCACACCGCCCCCACCTGCCGCGCCGAGCCCTTCCCCACCACGACAGAGCCCCAGCCCCCCACCGCCCTCACCACTGCAGCCCAGCCTCCCGCCGCCATCCCCGCCCTCTGTGCCCAGCCCCAACCCCCCTCCTCCACCCTCGGTACCCAGCCCACCCCCGCCGTCACCAGTGGCCGCCCCCCCTCCATCCCCGGGTGGCGGTGCAAGCCCACCACCCCCCCTCACCCCCTCCCCCTCTCCACCCGGGCATGCAAGCCCGCCCCCCACTGGACCCGAGCCTGCCCCCTTTCCCCCACCCAGCCCCTCCCCTGACCCCAGCCCCAGTCCGCCGCCGCCGTCGCCGTCCTCCCTGTCGGCCCCCGAGCTGAAGGGCACCTGCTGGATCGTGACCGGGACCACCTACGGCTGCGCCTACTCTGTCAGCGCCACCTACGTCAGCACGCAGTGGGAGGTCGAGGCCCTGACAAACGACGGCCTGCTCTTCTCCTCCCACGCCTGGGCTTCGCACACCAACAGCTCCCGCGCCCAGGTCGTGCTGGAGACCTTTGGCGCCCAGCTGCACGCCCGCGCCTTTGCATACGTGCTGCAGACGCGGTCGCCGGCATCTGCCCCGGTGTCCATCCGCCCGGCGCCGCCGCCCTCCCCCCCACCCCACCCCCCGCCGCCCTCGCCGCCGCCGCCCCCGCCCCCGTCCCCGCCCCCAGTCGTCTTCCCGCCCCCCCGCCCTGGGTGGACCCGCTCACCGTGCCCCCACTCCTGGCCTGCCCCTGTGCCTTTGACAGCACCGTGGTCAAGTGCACCTGCACCGTGCTCACCCAGTTCCTGGCCGACCATGCGATGCTCAAGATATGGACGGTGGAGGGGACGTGGGAGTCCCACCACGACTGGAATCACTCCGGGCACGCCTCAACCCAGCCCTGGCCCCCCGTCAACTACATCTACGACGAGAGGGAGACGGTGCTGGGGCAGGTGTACATGGTGCTCAACAGCCTGGTCGCGGGGCTGCCGTCCAACACCGTGACGCTGTCGCCCAACGTGCCCTCACCCCCGGCACCGCCACCACCCCCGCTCCCGCCCAGCCCGCCTCCGCTGCCGCCCTCGCCGCCGCCCTCGCCACCGCCCTCGCCGCCCTCCCCGCCGCCGGACTCGCTCCCCGCACCGGCCCTGCACGTCGCCTGCCAGGGCATCTTGGGGGGCACTCTCTGCACCGCCACCGTCACCATCTTCGACCTGGCCTCCAGGACGGAGCTCTACATCCACAACGCGGACGGCAGCCTGAACACCGGCATCTTCTGGCTGGCCAACGCGGTGACCTCGTCCAGGACCTTTGTATCCCACCAGAACAACCAGACCGCCACCGCCCGCTCCTTCCTCGGCAGCCGGACGTCCCAGATGTCGGATGCCGTGGTGTTGGCGCCGTGAAGGCGGGCAGCGGGGAGCCCTCCTCCCACCCCAGCACCTGGTGGGGGGCAGACCCTGCCTGAATTCCCAGGCCCATGCAGTCAGCCCCCTTCTCCCCCGCTCCAGCAGCCAGCCAGTCCCTGGGAGTCTTGCTGTACCTCGGCCGCATTGTCGCCCGAGACGCGATGCAATGGGAGTAACAAAGGTCGCCAGCCCTTATGTCATTCATTCTTGTACTTCCCTAAACCTCAAGATGCCCTCTGTAGACTTTTGTTGCGTTCCCGAGCCTTCCCGTGCTGACGTGTACTGCCCGATATTTTCATTAGGTTCGGTGGCGACCAAAGAGGGGTGTGCAGAGCTTCGCGTGCGTCAATCTTGCCGGCATGCACCACAAATCGTGCCGTCCATGAGCTCGGCGCGAGGCGGGGCCCGCGGGCGGGCGGTGGAGCATGACGGGCTTTGGCAAGGCCTGGTGTCGGAGGACGATGGCAAGGTCGGTCGATCGCCAGGAGCCACGGCCTGACAATCCATGCCCATGCTAGTGTACCTCGCCGATTCTAACACAAGTAGAGTCTCCCTGCAACAGGCGACCATCTCCCTGCAGTCCCTCCTCCGTGCCCGTCGTGTTCCCCAGACCCGTCGGGCGGTCTCCCACCTGCTAGCCTGCCTTGGCAGGCATGCCTGTGACCCCCGCCTGGGCCCCGGGGTGTGGCAGCTGGCTGCCATCTGGCTCCGGCGCCTGGAGCTGGACGCAGGTGGGTGCCTTTGGTGGTGGCTGGGGCGTCTTCCAGATCACACGCACCATTTTGGAGCAGCAGCTTTCTCAATACCCTTCCACTACACACCTCGCGATCGCCCCTCCCATCCCTCCTCAGGCGAGCAAAACCCCACCGACCCAGCTGCGCGCCAGGTGGCGGGCATGGCCCTGGGCCTGCTGCGCAGCCCCGACGCGGCTCGCCTCCCGGACCCCCTCTTCTCCGCCCTGGTGCTCTGCGCCGGGGGGGCCCGGGCATGGCTGGACGCCGCCCTCCTGCGTGCCTCCCTGGCCGAGGCCCTGATGGCCCGTCCCCCGCCCCAGTCCTGGGCCAGGGCGGGGCTGGCAGTGCACGGCGCGGCGGCTGCGCTGGAGGGCGGCGGCTACGCGACCCCGGCGGGGGCCTGGCTCCTGGCCACGCTCCTGGCCTGGGTCGAGGGCTGCCCCACGCCCGCCTCCCTGGCGCCCGCGGTGGTGGGCATGGTCGGGCGCGCGGTGGCGGACACCGGCGGCGCGCTGCTGGCGGGGGTGGGGACTGGCTGGGTGTGCTCGGGGCACCGCAGCGCGGCGGCGCCCCTGGCGCTGGCCGGCGCGGCGCTGGGCACGCCGGGCGGCGCCCAGCGCGCCGCGTGCCTCGCCC